ACACCAGAGGGAAAAGTACAAGTTCTTCACGGAAACTCAAAGCGAACACACAAATCACCGCGCAGAATATCACTCAAGAAAAAGAGAAAAAACGAAAGAGAGAGAAGAGAGTAGATGCAAGAGAGAGGAAGAAAGAAGTATAGAAGAGAAAAAAAAGAGAGGATGAGGAGATGAGAGGAGAGAAAGTCAGATGAATAAACAGAATGGGACGTCTAGGTGAGATCAGGCAGCTGGTGTGCTGTCAGCGCGGGGCGCGCCATTTGTGCATAATATAATGCATGCGTCATTGACCTTTATGCTTCGTATTCTGACCGTGTATAGCATTCTCCCTCGCTTTCTTTTAAACTACTTCTCCTCTTGATGTGGTTGATATTCTGCGGCGCTTTGAGTGTCGATGAAACCTTGTAACTTTTCCCTCTGGTGATCGTGATTTTTAAACTACCTTGGCAGCTTACTTTATTCAAACAGCTTTTACAATCATATTTTACGCACTTCAATCTGAATGCACATCCGTCATCTCTATCACATTCCTCGAAACGATACCTCAAACGATAGTAATCCTAACAGCAATCTAATTGACTAAAAAACACACATACTCACCCAATCACGCACTACACTGTCCTACATCGCACATACTCCACACTCAGTGCACTGCAACACAAACCACACCGTATCTTACTGTATCATATATCCACTGTTATGTTCACCACATATATCATTCATCACCTTATCCTGATTACTCCTCACCTCCACCATCTATTCTTTCATCTCTCTTTTACTTTCTTTTACTTCCCTATCCTTTTTTCACTATGAGTGTACAGTTCGTTACTTCTCTACCTTTTCGAGCACTGGTAGTGTCTTTTCTTCCCAACGAAACCCGAGTGTCCGAACATCCCAAACCATTCGCATCACAAACGCGCTACCCACTGACATTTCGGCGATGCGTATAATTTCCGGAGAAGAGAAGCAGACACAGAACTCAAAATCCGTAGCACTGTCTGTGTTATGCGAGGCGGCAGATCCAATTACTACAGTCAATTGCGTCTTGCTATAGTTAGATACGCCACTCATCTCATTGGGTCAGTGGTGAGAGAAGATGTATGATAGTGGTTATATGAGAAGTAGAAAGTTGTCCGTTTGCTGTAGGTCCTGGCATTTTATGTCAACTAGACTGGTAGTCATATACTTGCGGAGCAGTCGTAATGTAATCTAGAATAGACATGCATCGAAGTATTGAGTCGCTTGTGCAGGCGTTGTATGTAATGTAATTATGGGAATTCTTTCTA